TAATTTTTCCTTTTAATTTGCGGCCAAAACAAATTTTTGACACTTACTAACTTTTCTCAATAATTAATGATCACAAGCCTTCACTTTGGTCTTGTAAGCCACAAGACGAAAGAGCATAAAGTACCCAGAGTATTGTTAAAGTAATAGCAGATTGAAGCTTGATCATGTGACAATCTTAAATTCGATTTATTCTATAAGTTTAGCAACTAATTATGGATAGTCACTGATTAATTAATGAATCTAAATCATATTAAGATGACCAATTCTTAGCATGTAATATATATAAGTGGGAAACCTTACATTAAATAATAAGATCCACAATCATCCTTGTTATATGTAAATTTATCTACATGTATTCAAAATGAGATACAAAATTAAATTATAATCTATGAAACATTGCATAAAAACAGAAGATGAGATAAAAATAATTCTTTTTTTTACTTTTACTTTTTCTATTTTAAGTTATGTATGATTTTAATCTCCTAATTTTTTTAATTAATTAAGTTCCTCTAATTTTAAAATTAAATAAACTCAATATTTTTCAACTTTATTATTTTAAAATTTTAAATTATTATTTTTAATCCAAATATTTGAGGGATTACGACGAATTTGAGTTATGATACAATTCTAAAAGTTTAGAATAAAAATAAAAGATAAGAGGGTTTGATGAAGGATATTTATTATATTGTTTTATTCTTTAATAATATCATTGTATTAAAATTTAAAGAATCTCATGCAATGATATTATTAAATTTTATACCTTTTTTTTTTAATAAAAGTCCACTATTTACTAATTTTTTATATAATTTTGTATAAGTCAAAAAATATTTCTTATTTAATATGTAAATTATTAATTTGATTGTTTAATACTATTCACATTACTAAAATACAATAATTTATGACACATGATTACTTTTTATAATTTTAATGAAATAATTTTTTAATATGTGTTTAAGGATGCATGTTAAAAAATTATTTTTTAGCAAATATTTAATATATACTTTTTATAATAATATAAATATTTAATAAAATGTATGTAATACTTTTTAATGTATCTTCTTAAATACACATTGAAAAATATTATAGAAAAGGTCTTATTAATTAATATCCTTGCAATATTAGTAAAAATAATAATAATAATTATTATTAAAATCATATTAAACTATATTTATTATATTTTTTGGAAAAAGCATTCCATTTTAACTCTTTTAATCAATATCTATGTAAGTATTTACGATAAAAAAGAATATTTTCAGTTCGTCAAATCCAATGCCAATCTGCAACCTTTGTTAATTCGGCCAAAATCTGTCAAGCATTCAAGAAAGAGTGTTTTTAGATTTTTGTTTTTGGTCCCAGAGTGTCTTGAGAGTTTCAACAGAGGTTAAGTTGCAAAATTTACTACCCAAGCTCAGAGATGGGCCTCAACAATGTCGGAAACCTTGAAAATACAAAGACTGAAATAACAGCCATTTATCGCCAATTTATTTATAAAAAATAATTCATTCATTCATTATAATTAATAAACAAATTATATATAATATCAAATAATTATATTAGACATACATAAATTAAATAAATAGATATACTCAATTATAAAGAAAACATGTAAATATTTGTTAATGTAAATCTAACAATAAATAATGTACATTAAAAGAATTTAATAATCAATACGATTAAAAATACTCTTTTTTTTAATATTTTGAATAAAAACGTATCAATACTTGTTTCTAATAAATAGTATCAGAGGAAGCAAAAAAATAAATATAAAATACATCACATTATTAATATAATTTATTAATTGATAGTTTAATTTTAAAAACAAAAATATTAACAAAGATATTTTTAAAATATATTGTATTTAATTCAAATAATAAATATATAAAATAAATTTTACATTAACGTATTTAATCGTTTTTAGTTATAATTCTTAATCATTACATGTTATATTTTTTCATCCTCCTCTTGTATTTAAAACATAAATTCATATTCATATATTAAATAATTTTACACATTTTAATATATAATAACAAAGATTTATTGTTATAATTAATATCAAAGTCGGATCTTTTTGCATTACAATTGAGCGTATATATTTTTAATTGAAATTAATCAATGAAATAAGTGAAATATTTAGTGATAGACTTTATTTGTATATAAACAAAAAAATATTAGTTATAAAACCGTTCTTAATAATCAAAGTTAAAGATTGTTTAAAGTTACATTTTAATAATTTATAATAAATTTTAACAGTTTTTTTTATGAAAAAACCGTCTCATTAATGCATATATGTGTGCAAAAAGTAACCAACGTAAGATGATGTGGGAGTACATGTCCCACTCGATTTTAAAACTTCAATATTAATATAATATTAAGTTGTCATTTACTAAATTTTACCGTGTTTAACTTTGTGCCAATTATTTGAATTTTTTTTTCTAATATGAAGTATAAGATAATATTTTGTCTCCATTGCTCCAAGTTTTCAATGTATTACATATTTAATTATATATACTATATTCATTGGAAATTAAATTTGAAAATACATATTAAGTCAAAAATAATATTTTATTCACTGATCTACATGTTCGGTAATTATATTTGCATAAATGTTATTTAAATGTTTAAAATATAAAATATGTATTTTTTTAAGTGATAAATACAATGCTATGAAGTTCAATTAAAATTAAAATTGTTTAAAATATTATTTATTATTAAATATATTTTAATAATTATTTAAAAAATTATGTCTCTTTATATCATTTTATAATAGAATTAAACACTATATCATTCATTTTACTTTCAATAATGATTTTATATGTATATGTTTAAAATATCTTAACCATTTTTTTTTAGCAATAAATATCACTATAATATTTTATGCATATAATTATTTTTTACTTTGTCTTTATTTATGTGGTCATTAATTATTTTAGTATTTTCAAGTTTTTAAGTATTACCTTTTTTTATATTATCTCTTTAAAATTCAACATTTATTATCATATATTATAATTGGTTATATAATAGTGTAAAATTTATAATTATAAATAAATTTTTTATGTCATTTTCTACGTCATTTTATAAGTAACAATCTTATTAATTTATTTATTATTATGTAAATAATAAATATAAATTAATAAAATTTATGGTCAATATTAAAAAAAAATACTCAGTTAGTTATTATTTAAATTTTATTTAATTATTTGTACATAGTTGTATATTTTATATTTATTTATTTATAATTTTATAGTCAAAAGTTATTCTCACAAAATACATCTCCTTATAAAAAAATATATAGTTTAAATGATCATATATTTGATTATTGTTAGAATAAAAATAATAATATATATTAATAAATTTTATTTAAATAATTAATATTAAAAAATTCTAATTAAATAAAAAATAAATATTTTATAAAATTTGTTTCTAAGAAACAACCATTAATATTATTTAATTTAAAATATAAAAATGTTAATTATTAACTTCTTATACTCTTATTTAATATAATATTTATGTTAACCACACATTTACTCATTATTTCTGAAATATAGTATATATATATATATGACATATTTTTTTTTTTTATGTTGATAAATTAATTATATACTTTTTTACTATAAATATATAAGATCAGAGGGAATAATAATTATTTTTTTAAAAATTGTGTTAAAATCCATTAGATAGTGTTTGGATACCGTCCCTAGATACTGGAGGCAATGACACTAAAATAATAAAGGACACAAACTTTAATATTTATGTCTGTGTATTGTGTTTGGAAGTAAGAATATAATTTGGTGTATTGCGTCCTATATTATGTTTGAATATAAAAATTATGAGGATAATCTATGCAATTTTTAAAAATTATATAATTTTAAAAAATTATGAGAGATATTTTTGTTTTTAAAAATTTATCTTCTGTGTCTTTAGAACTGGGACACTAGTGTCCCTTTTTCTAAGAGATATACTGATATTTTTTTTTATTGTGTCTCTGTTTCTTTAACAAACACTAACTAAACATTATACACATACCTTTGTGTCTTTGTTTCAGTGTATCTATCTTTGAATCAAACGCTATCTTAAAAAATATAAGGAAAAGTTCATTTTATATTTTTTAACAAAATATTTATTTTTTATTTATTAATAAGAGTTTTGGTTAATATTTTTCTAAAAAAAGGTGTACACAACTTTTTAAGTATTAGGTGATCATTAATCAATTTTTAATTTTGATAATTTATGTTTGATTGTATATTTCATATTTACTCTTCTTACCATCTTAAAATAGTATTTTCTCACTTTTTCACGGATGAGATCAATGTTTTAAGTCAAAACATTTAATTATTATGAAAATGAAACAATAAATATAGATCATTAAATTTTATTTAAATAATTATAATTAAAAAGTATACTTATCTTATTAAATAGTTGTATAAATTTTTAACTAATTTTTAGTTCTTAATCATTTATATATAGTTCTAGGATTGACATTTATTATTTTATCTTAAAATAAAAACCACTCCTACTATTTAAGTATATCCTCATATAATAAATAACTAAAATAAAAACACATACTTATTACTAGTGTAATAACAATAAATATAAAATATTATATCTTATTTAAGTTAAAATTATTTAAAAAAATATACTTAAATTTATTAAATAATTATGTAATCATTAAATAATTTTTAAACTTAACATTTTTTTAATAATTGTATAATCTACCTTAGTATTTTCATTATTTAAAGTATAAGGTCTGACTAATTAATACTGATAAGAATTATTAAATTTTTTTTTTATTAATAATATGCTTAATTACATTAAAAATTATGAAAAAATATATTTTATAATATTTTAATAAAAATATTATTTAAAATTTCTTAAACAGTGTTGTACCTTAGCATTTGTGTAAAATATAAACGATTCCCGCTGTATGAATGTCCCATAAATGTTCTCCACACGGCTCCCCACCCTCTATCTATATATAAGATCCTCTATCTGATTGTATCGTGACGCACCCACTTCAAATAACCAGCTTTCTCTACACAACCTCACTGTGAGGCTCTCTTCATCCACCAAAAGAGAGAAAAAAAATGGTGAAGTTCTCAAAGGAGCTTGAAGCTCAACTCATACCAGAATGGAAAGAGGCCTTCGTCAACTACTGGCAGCTCAAGAAGCAGATAAAGAGAATCAAACTCTCCAGACTTCCCAAGCCATCTCACCACGCCCAAGGAGGCTTTGGTCTTTCCATTTTCGATTCTCTTCCCTTTCTTCTCAAGAAAATCGCTCTCAAACTCTCTGCTTCCGATGATGATAACCTCAACATCATTAAGGTAATTCCCAAGGTTTTCGCCTTTATTTTTTGGTGTTTTCTTGTTGCCAGCAAAATGTCACGTACACGTTGCGATTTTTGCGTGTGGTCTCTATGGTTTTCTGTGTTTTGTCTTCTAGTCTTTCATCAATCCAATGCCTTAGTGCATAGCTTTACTGCATGAAAAGTACACTCAAATAAATGTGACATCCTTTTCTGTCAACGAATTGGTTTGAATTCACGAAAGTTAAAACATTGCCTTAATGCGTTCTTAGCCAACGGATTTTTTCAATCGTCGATGTGGTCGATATGAATCGCAAAATCAAAACAGAAAATAAATTATGCTAGTTGAAGAAAATAACACATTAAAAAATTTAATAAAATTTGTTTTATTAAAAATTATGATAAATTGTACTAATAACATTTTTTAATTAATTTTCAAAGAGTACTCTTTTGTTAGCATTTTTCTTGATTCAATCAGGAATCGTTAGATCGGTGAAGAAATATGTTTTTACTATAATAATCAATCCTTAAAGAATTTGATCTTTTAATGATGTGAATACATTATATGGCTGTAGCATAAACTTTCAACTCAACAATAGTATAAGCATAAAGTTAAGCTCCTTTAATTTTTTTTCCTTTGGGTTTTGCTATTTAAATGCCATCACTCAATTAGATAGAATGAAATTGATATTTCATTTTTTGAAAAGTGAGTGGTAATAATAAAGGAGTAAATACAATGAATGGTTACAAGAAAGGCAAAATAAAAATTTGGAAAAGTTAGGTTCGGGCGGAAAGAGATCTGAGACAGGAGTATTGTAGCCAGATGAGTATATAGTGTGGGGTTAAGTACTAAATAAAGTGAGTTTAGTGGCCTCTTTTTTTTTTTTTCCCTCTCTGAAACCCTTTTCTTCTATCTTTTCGGGAGTTTCTCAATCTCTCACGAAAGCAAGGAAAACGCTTCTGTGCTACTAGCTATATATTCCGATACCATCGTAGCAGCAAAAACTGTAAAAAATTAAAAAAAAATAATAATGTAAATGTAAAAAATATAAAAATTTAAAAACAGAAAAATATATATGGTATTTTTTTACGCATACAGGTGAGGAAGAAAACTGCAAAGGACGGAAGAGAAGAAATTTATGAGACAGAGCTTGCACAGTTGTTTTCGGAAGAGGATGAGGTAAGTTTCTTTGTTTTCTATGTATTAATTGATGTATAACTGTATCTGCTATATTCTTGGACTTACATTAATTATACATTGCTTTTGTTATATGAGTTGGTTTTCAATTATTTATTCAGGTACGTGTATTTTTTATGAGGCTGGATGAAGAGCTAACCAAAGTGAACCAATTTTATCGGAGGCAAGAGAGTGAGTTCTTAGAGAGAGGAGAAACCTTGAACAAGCAGCTTCAGATTTTGATTGATCTCAAGCAAATTATCAGTGAACGCCGCCGGAAAAATTCTCCTTCAAAGGCATGTAACACCGGAATTTTCCCTCATTCTCCAGCTCGGGATTCGGATTACTCTGGTCAGCTATCTTTTTCATCTCACGACTTCTTTAGATAACAATCAAAATCAATTTCTCATATTATATTATATATTTTTTGAATTAATTTAAACTTGTCTTTTAATCATATCTAATCATTTAAAAATAATGTAACCAAAAATTTAAAACGAACAGATATCTAATGCACGGAAAATTATTGTCTAGATTAATATGTAATATAATGATGATATTTATTCCATTATAACAATGGAGAGATTATATTCAGTTAGATCTTGGATCAATGATCAAGAAAATTCCTACTTCCATTTTGTGTTTTTAAGTGCTTGCTGACATCATACAACATATAGAAACTGTGTATCTAAGTGGACTAGTATCTGGAACATTGCCGACCCACCACATACTTCAATATGCAATAAATCTTAAAAAGCAATGGTATTTGTATATTATTTTTCTTACATTTATTTTCTAGATTATATTAAAAATAAAAAAAAATTCCATATATATTTTTATCTTCTATTAAATAAAGTGTAAGCACGGTGCAATTACTTTAATGTGTAAATAATACTTTCAAATTGTAAAGGGGGATATTTATGCATAAATACGAAATTCTCATTGCTCTTATTAACGAATCAACGGTGAGGGGATAACAAAAAAAGTGAGAAATAATAATAGTACTAAGGAGTGCATGGGATATGTGTGAGAGTAAATCATAATTACTATATCATTTCCCGTTTAATTATCAAAGAAGTAGGATATACAGGACCTTTTTTTTTTGGCTATTCATTATTTTTAGAACGTGTTTAGATGCATAATTTGATTACGTATTTATTAAATAATTTATATCACAAATTTAACAATATAATTTATTAAGATAAATTAAAATAACTTATTTTAATAAGTTATATCAAGAAATTTATTAAAATAAAAGGTATAAGTTACTTTCTTAAGTAATTTATAAATTCTTTTAATTAGGGTCTAATTAAGTTGCATAATTATACTAGTTTGTGCAGAAAATTTAGGAGATTCCGATGAAACAAATTCAGAAATTTCAAAAACGGAAGAGGTAATCACGACATTAGAAAAAAATGGCATAAGTTTTGTTAATTCAGCGACGAGGACAAAGACGAATAAGGGAAAGCCTAAAATGGCAATGAGAATTGATGTTCCAGCCACCAACCCCACTCGGGCGATTACGGCTATTACTAGCATGCTGTGGGAGGATTTAGTGAATAATCCAACCGGAGACATCGTTCACAAGAGGAAGATCCAATGTGCTGAGAAAATGGTCAGAAGTGCGTTTGTGGAACTCTATAGAGGCCTTAGCCTACTCAAAACTTACAGGTTTTTATTTATTTATATATTCCCTAGCTATCATTAGTTGCAAGTTACATTCAAAATCAATCTAATCAGATGCCTCAATCATCCAAAAAACTAGCTGACTCAAAGTCTTTTAAAAAGTCACTTAATTTTACCCAAAAAAAAAGAAAAAGACACAAGCACTCTCTAAAATATTATCCTCAATTCTTAATTTAATGTAATTCCTAATAATAATAGAACGTAAGTTTAAGTTATTTAACGAGATTGATATAAAATATGCTTAATACTTGAATTATATGTTTAGATTTTTTTATTCATAAAATTTGAAAAATTACACTTTTGACCACTTAATTAATTAATCCAATCGATATTGCTATTAATTCTTTAATTTAGTTGTTGTTATTATTATTATTGCATGTGCTGGTGTGAAATGAAAAAAAAAATCCTTAGGGAAAAGGGAATGTTGATGTCGTGACTATCTTAGCTAAAATTGGTAAGAATATATGGAAGTGATAAGGAGGCTAATAATTCCTCAAAAAAAGATAAGGAGGCTAATAAAAGGGTGAGTTGCATGGCAGTTCACAACACCACGTAAAGTTTCGGGTAGAGAGAGTAAATGAATGGTTGGTGTGGTTGTCACGTTAGAGTAGATCTATTCACACAACAAATATCACTCTATATTTATATTATTCTTATCATTTGATTCTAATTAAATTCTTCATTTTTAATATTTAAATACAATGTGATTTATTTTATAAAATTGTGCATCGATTATCATTGGATGCATTCTATGATAATGGGCAAGGTCTTCTATTAGGATCTATAAAGCTAACTTTTGCACACACTTCCAAATAGTGGCCAACAAAATCAAACTGCATTTCTTATCGTCAAATGTCTTTACTTTTTCGTTTCGTTTTCTTTCCTGAGTTTTCAATTCCTTTTTAAATGCTTATCTATTTATTTATCTGTGAATTAATTTCGCTTTTTATAGATTCTGAAAAGAGAGAGAGAGAATCATGTCTAGGATTGAAAAATAGATGGGCTTATAAAATTATTGACACTCGTTTGATCAACTAATTAGTAAACAAAAACCCTTTAACAAATAAAGCATATTAAACTACTTAAAAATAAAATATATAAAGAATTAGTGTGTGTATATATTAATTTACAAACTGGCTATTTTTTTATGAGTCCAACTCATTAATCGCTAGTATAAATAAATTAATTGAATAATATATTTAAACATATTTTCTATTTTATTAATCTTAGTCCATTTAATTTACATGTACATTGCATGTTGACCAATGAGTCTAACGTGTTCAACTCTTTTTTTAAGGTTGAATTAATGGAAAATCTATACCATAATTTTTAAGTGTTGTTAGTGTTATTGACTAATTAAAATTAAAGTTTCACTTTAATATAATATTTATATTAATATTATCACAAATTAATAAAAAATAAAATTTAATTTTAAAATAATAAACAGCGCCTAAATAACTAATATAAATTTTGTCTGAGTATAATTAGTTTTATAGGTGATTCAAACGATTTAAGATAGGGAGATAGTAGGTTCCCACTTCCCACACCGAAATGACCTGATAGTCCAGTGAAAAAAAATAATGTTAAAGATATTATCATTGTTCACCTCATTTTTTACATACGTAGGCAGGGGCAAAAAAGAGAAAAAAATAAAGGTGAGGAATATACTAAATAAGTGAAAATAGAAATAAAAAAAATAAGTGTAAAGAGGTGAATATTATTTTTAAGTAAATGAATATCAATTCCAAATGCTAAAAAAATCAAGAAAGCAACACGATACATCTTCTCTAATATGCAAAAGTAAATGCTTCGAATTTAAATATTATACAAATATTTGTATACAATGAAATAAAAGTTATCCTCATAAAAATAAAACTAGTAATTAATTAAAGATAAAAATAATTTTTACTTTTCTTTTTTTTTGAATTTTTTGGTTTATTTTATTTAATTTGGTATTTTTTAATTGTGATATTTTTTACTATAAAATAATTTATTTTTTTATTATTTTTGGTAGGTTTTTAGTGCTACAATTAACAAATATGAATAAATTAAAATTAAACAAATAATTAATTATTAAAAATAAATATAAAGGTTAAAGGATCAAAACAAAATAAAAACTTTAAACTAAAAAATTAAATTATTAATATTGTCTTAATTAAACTCTTTTTTATTTAACCAACAAATTAATAGTCTTAATTAATCTATTTGAAAATATAAATGGAGTAAAAAAGTACACTTCTAGGAAAACAAAATAACGTAAAACTAAATAAAACTACATACTAAAAGCATTTTTTATTTCTGTTTTATAAATACATATTTTATTTTTAAAAACAAAAAACTGTTTTTAAAATAGAAATTAAATATACTCTTAATAGTTGGACATTTATTTTTTCATAATTTTAAATAAAAATTAAATTATTATATAAAGAATATAAATTTATTTTAATAATAAGTTGATAATTTTATTATATATATATATATATATTCATATAATTTTACTATGTAAAATATCAATATAATGCTATATTCATGATATTTATATTAATAATTATATTTTTATTATACTAACAGTGTATTAGCTAAGGCAATTTTAACATTTGACATTTTTCTATTAATAATTGACAATTCTTTTATTGTGCGAATAAGACCAGTGACGTGCTATCATGTTACTTTACTTGAAAAGGTTAAAGATAGTGCGAAATAATCACTAAGGAAAAAGATAATCGATGAATTAAAAAAATGTTACATGTTTAAATTATTTTGTTAGATATAACTTCTGTCTAATATAAATAACATTATTGTCATAAATACTGTAAGTCCTTATATATAACGTAGTATATTAACAATATGATAAATTAATAATATACATTATTTCTTATGGAATATATATTCAATTTTTTATATTAGTTTTTATATATGTATGAGGTTAAGCTGTGAAATGAAATAATTGTTATACATATGAATTGGGTGTCATTAATCAAGCGAAGCATTTCCTTACGAAATATATTTATATTCATTGGGTTATAGGCCATATCCATTTACTGTAACTGAGCACCTCTTTCATGATTGAGCAACTTCTAATTACAAATTGTCTGAATTTGGCAGCTCACTGAATATGGTAGCATTTTCAAAGATATTAAAGAAATTTGACAAGGTAAGGCTTAAAAATATCTCCTTTTTATTCTTCACACGCTACGTTGGCAAACCCCAACATGAAACTTCTTTATATTCACGCTAGAGTAATTGAACAATTTATATTTTATTTACTTCCGATGACGTGTTATACATGATTATGTTTTGGTAATTATCAAATATCATTAGCAGTTTATACTTGTAAACAAAAAAAAAAAAAGTTTCGTTAACAAGTGGAAAGTTTTGACGACAAATAGAAAGATTGTTTTTAAATCATTTTGGGAGTACCTTACAAATCATAAAAGGAACGCATTGTTATAGTTTTGGGTAATTTTTAAAAAAAAAAATTTAACTAATATTTTTAGAAAATTGACTAACATTATATATATATATATATATATATATATATATATATATATTCTTGTATGACTTGGTTATTCTTTTCTTTGAATTATTTTTTGGTTTTAAATTGGGTCAATTTTATTTTCAATTGATATTAAAATTTATTTAATATTGTCCTATCATAAACATGAGAGTAGATCTTTAAGATGTACCATGCAAGAATTAGTAAATATTAATCAAATTGTTACTAGATTCGAATACACATTGAAAGTTGTGGGCGATCTCAAAAGAACTATCATTACTTTGTGAACCCATTTAATTTACTTCCTTGGCATTGATAATTTATTCTGCCACCAACTCTAAGTTTGCATCTTTAAGATGTTAAGTTTTAACATAAATTCATATTGTCATCTGATCGAGCAGGTGTCCTGCCAAAAAACTTCGGCAAATTATTTAAAAGAAGTGAAGAGATCCTATTTCGTTAGTTCTGATAAGGTACATTTTGATTTTCTCCAAATCCCTTCATTTTAAAAGTTGATAAAAAGAAAAAGGACAAGAAAAGAAACATTACATTCAACTTTTAATGTACCGTTTGATCTTGGTCTTCTCTCTTTCTGATGCGTCAAATGGGGTTATACGGTATTCTAATAAATGGTTATTATTATAATATTTGGTATTTAAGGTTGTTAGACTAATGGACGAAGTGGAATCCATATTCACAAAGCACTTTGCCAACAATGATAGAAAAAAGGCAATGAAATTTTTAAGACCCCAACAACATAAAGATTCTCATATGGTCACCTTCCTTGTCGGTAATGCTTCTTTCTCTGTCTCTTCATATGGGCACTTAAACACTCACTAACACTAGAAAAGTATTTTATGCATAATGACAGTAGCGTCACTTCAAATTGCAATGCAATATTTAAGGTGATGACTCCATGTACCAACAGACAAGCCAAATAAAATTTTCATGTACGGCTATTAGCCAATGCTCAGTGGCCACTAATTTGGTCATCTGTGGACCCACCAAGCTGATTGGTCAAATTTGAATCTTTTGTTCTATTAAAAATTTAATGTGTAAAACAAAGTTTTTCCTTCTCATAATAACACCTCATTTTAATGCTTCTTAATTTTCTTTATTACTGTTTCTGCAGGGTTGTCTACTGGTTGTTTTGTATCCTTGTTTTGTGTATATGCGATCTTGGCCCATTTGTGCGGTATATTCTCCCATAGCAATGAGCCAGCTTATATGGAAACAGTCTACCCTGTTTTCAGGTTACTTCATGTTGTTCCAATATAAACATATTTCACACATTATTATCTCTTTTCTGTGCTATTCTACTCCACGTCTTAACTCTGGCCAAAATACTATATATGTTCAACATCAATAGATTAATTAGAAAAACTGATTTCAATTGAGCTCTTGCCAATATTTCTCTATTAGCCGCCCCTAAATTTTTAGATTATGCCAAGTTCTTGATAAGGGTAAAATTGTGAAGAAAACTTGTAAGTAAATTATAAAATTGTACTTTTTCTAAATCTCCTTTATAATTATAAACCATGACATTAATTGTACATAAATAAGCTAAGGAGATCGTAAAAACTATCCCAAAAATTTAATTAGCAGAATTTAAGACAAAAATAACGAGGTTATTGGTGCACTAATTGTTACAATGATTACGTGCAGTGTGTTTACTTTGTTAAGCCTGCACTTGTTTATGTATGGATGCAACCTTTTCATGTGGAAGAATACAAGAATCAATTACAATTTCATATTTGAATTCTCACCAAGCACAGCACTCAAGCACAGAGATGCATTTCTGATGTGCACAACCTTAATGACAACGGTGATTGGGGCAATGGTGGTACATCTGCTTCTAAGGGCTGGAGGCTTTTCTCCTAGCCAAATTGATGCCATTCCTGGAATTCTTCTTCTGGTAAGTCTAGTGACTATTGCTTTTCCTTGTTATTTAAAAGATAAACTAGCCTAGTTTTGTTGAAAAGTAATATGTAAACCTCTATGCTGATTATGAAATTCCATTTTCAGTTTTTCACAGTCCTCCTCATTTGCCCATTTGACATTTTCTATCGCCCTACACGATATTGCTTCATTCGTGTTATACGCAACATAGTATGCTCTCCATTTTATAAGGTGAACTTCCCTCAGTTAACTCCTTGGAACAATTCTATAGTGTAATACCATATGTAGAAAACTGAAGTTGGCATTATTTCATTTTAATTTATCATTTTACAGGTTCTGCTAGTAGACTTTTTCATGGCTGACCAATTAACTAGCCAGGTGATTTTACTACAGTATAGCCTACAAATTGATTCTATTGTTGTCCTTTTTTCACCTTTACTTGTTAGGAATCCTATGTAACATTAAATGTCATTTAACGGTTGTGGATACAGATTCCATTGCTAAGACATTTGGAGACTACTGGTTGTCACATTTTTGCTAGAGTTTTCAAAACACACCATCCTGAGACCTGCCATTCTGGAAGGCTATATATGGAAATAACTTATATCATCTCATTTTTGCCATATTATTGGCGTGCTTTGCAGGTAAGCCTTGGATGTCGATTGATAATTGTACATTCACTTTTGACATTGCAACATATGAAATTAATGAACTACTTCAAGAATTGGAAACATGCTATATAGTTACTTGAACTATTTTTATACTGTATATTCCCCATTATTTCATCAACTAACACATGCTTATTGAATGGCCTTACAAGTGTGCAAGACGGTGGTTTGATGATGGTGATGTGAATCATTTGGCTAACATGGGTAAGTATGTTTCGGCAATGGTGGCAGCAGGGGCTAGAGTAACATACAGCAGGCAACATAACCATCTTTGGTTTGCCATAGTGTTAATGACTTCTGTGGTGGCCACAATTTATCAACTGTACTGGGATTTTGTAAAGGACTGGGGATTTCTTAATCCCAACTCCAGAAATCCATGGCTTAGAGATGATCTAATTCTAAAGAATAAAAGCATATACTATATGTCTATTGTAAGTTTTCTTTATCTCCTGATCTGAATATCACAGTCATAAGGCTTTTTTTTTATATCATGAAGTGATATTGGATGGCAGGCCTTAAATGTTGTCCTAAGAGTGACATGGGTGGAGACCATCATGCATTTTAAAGTAGGGCATGTTCAATCACGACTACTAGAATTTCTGTTAGCTGCACTTGAGGTTATTCGCAGAGGGCATTGGAATTTCTACAGGTATATTTTATCATATTTAGAAGAGCTAAATGAATTTTTTAATTTCCAGAATTTCCTTGTTGAGTAGTACATTAATTAATGCATTTTATTAGGACTTTGAAATTCTTTTATCATCTAATGTAACACAACCTATTGGTATTTGCCAAAAAAAATTTAGTTTAAAGCATGGATAAACTTTAGGTCGAAACAATGATGCCATAAGAGTAGAGTGGCAAATATGTCCTCAACAAATTGTTAAATAGTGAACAAAATCACAGAATTATTAATGAACTTCATAACTTCAACAGGTTGGAAAATGAGCATCTAAATAACGTTGGTCATTACCGAGCAGTGAAGACAGTTCCACTACCATTTCGAGAGACAGACTCTGATTGATGAAGTGATTTTCTTATACACGAAAATATGTCCTATAGACATGCTGACAAATAGAGGCATGAAGTGTAAAGAAAAAAAAAATGGGAAGGAGGAGAGAAACTTTTCTTAATGTGTTTCTTGTTTCCCTTCATTAAATTATCGTACATAAGATTGTCTCTTCTGTAGACAAATGGACATGTTAAAAATAGTAAAAAGAAGGAAATGTTACTTCTTCCTAATTTTAATAAATATTGAAATGTTAGTACCCTTTGTCAGGTGAAATAAATTTGGGTTGGCGTGCAATTTTTTTTTTTTTCAAGTTGTAAAATAAAACTTTTCACTAAAATGCGTTGAATCTTAATAATTTGTTTTTTTTTTTCTGCAACAAATATTGAAATTATTATAAAATGTCTTAAAAAATCTTTAAATTTTGGATCACTGAATCCTTTAGTACTATATCTACAATCTAACTTTTAGGATATGTTAGGGAGGATGTTTTTTGAAGAGAAAAAAAGGAAAAGACATGTTTTTAATTTTAAATTAAAAAATTATATATTATTTATAATGACTAAAAATACATTATTAATATATTAATTTTTTTTGTTAATCTATTAATTTATATATCTTATTTTTAAAAATATTAATTTTAAATATATTTACTTAAAATATAAATTTTGTCTTTCCTTTCACTCTCCTCCAAAACTTCCCTTTTCAAATAATTCTTTGGTGGTAAAACAGTTAATCTCAATGTCATTTTATAGTACTTACAAAATGAAAATGTACTTTTATATGCTTGATTTTGGCATGAAAGGTATAATTTTTTATCAAGCAAATAATGACTAATTGTCACAATATTATTTGATGTAAATCTTGTAATAATTATACATATGTCACATACACATAAGTTGCGATAACTGCTATTCTATACTTTGCTTTTGTAAGGTGTCTCTTGCTGCACCAAGACACCAAGCCACTCATTTCGCCCTGAGGCTGAGGCCCATCACAACAAGGGCAACAATCATTCCTCGTAAGATATTTTAAGGGTTATAATAAAATAATAAAAGAGATTAGAGAAAGAAACGGATCTTGTGTTTGAACCCATTTTACTTTTATTAAATTTTCGAATTAAATTTTTTTATGTGTACTTACACTTTTTAATTTCTAATGTGTTAACTTAATAAATATATTTGACTAATCTAAATATATAATACTAATTTTGTTCATTTTCTTTCTCTTCTTTTTCTCTCTCCTTATGAATCAAACAAAACATCTTTCCTCAGTTACTCTCTCTTTCTTTGACCTACATAAAATACAAGTCGCTTTTAGTTTTTCAAAGATAGATGACTACTCATTGAAGACGGTGAATCTTTTTCAAAATGATATTAGTTGCAAATCATTTTGCTCACCCTTACTTCATCATTGTTTTGAAAATAATTATTTATTGACGGAATAATTGTAAAATACTATTTACCCGAAGATAATTCTTACATGTCAATCAATTACTTGTCTTGTGAATCTAACAAAGTCAAAGTGGGATAATAAATTAACTTGACTTGGGTGAGTAACATAGAACTATTTTTTTCCGTCAGTTAAAGCATCTTAACAGTGTTTAATTTATGTAGTTTTGCTGCTGTGAAACATGTAATTAACGGTGTTTTTTTAACTTGTATCTAATAGTACATAATGCAAAATTAATTAATATTTTTTATTTTATATTAAATCATCTAAAAATTTGTGATTTATAATAAAAGCTTATTATAAATATATTTTTTATTATATGCTATTAAAACACGTTTAAAAAATGTATAATTAAATATAATTATGAGTTTAGCATACTTACTCTCGACCAATGCACATCTTATGGGAATATGATTCTTATCCGTTATAAAATTGAAGTCTTCTTCAATTTGTCTTTTACTCTGTTTTTTTTAGGAATATGATTCTCATCCGGCATTATTCAAACCATAACTGGGACACTGCAGCCCAATAGCGTTGAAACAATGTATGACCAATTTGGAGTGAAGCTTTTTGACAATGGAAAGCAAAAACACTTACAAATGAGGAGCCACTTCTAGATTCCTTACTATATTATGTAATGTCTCTATCCTCAGAGCTAAGAAATGGACTTTTGCTTTTTCCAGATTCGAATGATCTTTCACTGGCAAACACATGTTGGCAACACACTCGAAAGTAGATACTAAGCAGAAAAGTTGCTATAAAAATGTTGTTAATGCCTCTGCAAGAGTATGGTGTTGTGTGTTTAGTTAAAACCAAAAACCTCACTGTCTTTTGTACACTTTTATTTGAAAATTGATAGGTATACTCATTACTTCAAGAGCAGCTCAATAATCCTTCTAAGGAAAAACAGTTATGTTAATTACTTACACACTTTTAATACATGTTTTTTTGAATTAACAGTATTTAATTAGCTCACTGTTTATGAAATTTCCTAAACTGGCTTCTATGTCCGTGCTTTTTTATCCTTGTCATTTTTATATCATGAATTCCATTCGTGCAATATGTTTGGAACCTTCTTTTATCGTGTTAAAAACGCAAAGATAATCTCTTCCCATTTTCGTTTTGAATTCTCCCAACTCCTAATGTTTCAATAATCTCTTCCATAAATATGAATGGGAATGTGATTTATGGGTAAATTAAATTTTATCCAACACAGATTTTTTTAACTTTGCTACGTTGCATCTTTCAATCCGAAAAGATAAGCGTGTTTGGGTAATGTTGAATAATAAAAGTTTTACATTAGAAAATAGGAACAAATTAAATGATATATATTTAAGAAAATTGTGATTTTAAATTATAATTTTTTAGATAAATAAGTTATTTAAATTTAAAATTTATTAATTATAATATTAAATTACGCATGATGCACTTCAATTTTAATATAAGATTAGAGTTTGATTCATGGAATCTTATTTTTTGATAAAAAATTGAAACTCGAAAAAATGCCTAAAAATAATAAAAGAGCCAAATCTAAAAAAGTTCAAGCTAAATAAAAATTAAAGGTTAAAAAAAAGTTATACATGTGATATTAAAATAATTTTTAAAAAATTACAAGTCAAGTAAGAAAAAAAATATACTTGAGATAAACTTCTAAGTTTAAAGTACAATGAACTAAAAAAAATACTTAAAATGAGAGTAGTAAAAACTAAGTTAAATTTGAGAAAAAATGTTATATAATAAAAGTTTTTCATGTGTGAGTTACTGACAAATTAAATGATATATAATTAAAAAAATAAGTCTAAGTAGTAAAAAAAAAAATATTTAGACAAACAAGTTACTTATGTTTTTTTTTTACAAACAAATTAAATCCGATCTATATTCAAAATTTTAATAGATACACAATTTTAATTTAGTAAATTATAAAATTAGTATACTCATTTTTAATTTAAAAGTTAATTTTAATTTTATTTTAGTTTATTTTAATCTTCTTACTTTTAAATAAAGGTTTATTTTAATAGATACACAGTTTAATTAAACACTTATTAAGTAAATGATAAAATTAATGTTTTCCTCTTCAACTAAAAGTTAATTTTAATTTTATCTTCTAATTTTTTTTATTATTTTAGTTATTTAAATTTCAAAAATAATTCATTTTAGTTACAATATTTTTAAAAAAAATAAAGAATTAAAATAAATTAAAATAATGTTAAAAGAAGAAATCAATTTTAAATGTTAAACTAGAGGAAATAAATACTAATTTAACATAAGTAAATTGTTTTTAAAGATAATTTGTATCATAAATTTAATGATAATTTATTAAAACTAACTATTTTTTTATTTTCATGAATTATATTAAAAAATATTATAAAAAATAAAAATAACACTTTTTTTAAACAAGTATATGATCCACTTGTGTAATTCTAGAAAAGATTCTTTGTGCGGCAAAGAAAACTGAACCAGAAAAAAAAATTATTATGCAAATATCGTAATTATTATATCATCATAATAAGAAAGAGCCTGTCACTATAAAGACCCTATTCTCCTGTGTGTGCTGTGTATTGCCAAAAACGAATTTCTCGCTTTCTACTCTAAAGAAGTAACGCAAAAGGTTTCACCGCTTCGCTGTGCTTCTTTGCTTCTCTTCTATTCTCTCCCTCTTTTATTATTCTTACATTCCTTTCTTCATCACTTTCTTCATTTCTCTCTCTCTCTCTCTCTCTCTCCCTCTCTCTCTCTCTTCGTCGTTCGTCGCTCAGCATCAGCAGAACCGAACCAGGTTTCGTGCGTTTTACCATCTCACTGTCGTTTTTATATGCGTGTATATATCTTCTGGTTATTTTTCAGTTTCTCTGCTTTCAAGTGTGTTTTGCTCTGATATGGATTTGACTTGATGAAACTGTTGTTAATTTTGAATCTGAAAGTCTTTTCGTCTACGAGATTCGGCACTTGAACGTTTTGCTTTCTTTGCTCCCTTGAATTAAATAGAGGAAATTTTAGTTGTGCACATTTGTGTTTTGTGGAACATCTTTGTATGCTTTTGGCTTCGAGTAATTTGCGATCCTCTGCAGGGCTGATGAGTTTATGAATAGGGTGTGGGAATATTTTGACTCTGGTAATTCGAGCATGTGGAGCAGTAATGCAGGATTACCGCAAATGCCTGTTTATTTATAGGGAAAGGTTGTGTGAGTGCGTTTTATTGAATAGATAGTAGACTGGACTATCTGGTTAGGGATCAATAGTTCTTGACAATGTGGTATTACTCAAAACTTGAAAATTTTGGGAACACTTGCGGGAAACGCGCCAGGGTTAGGGTTTGGAATGAGTTTTTGACCTCGTTCTGGTAACGAGCAATGGATACATTTACATGTTAATTATCCATGAGGAAATGCCCCTGGATAATACCAATTGACTACTACTTCAACTACTCTCTTCAACTATGCCTCTGCATTTGTATTTAGTCATAAGTCTTGCATTAATAGATTGGACAGATGTTGTCAATTCACTGATCCTGACAAAGGATGATAAATATGCATTTGGGCATGTATTCCATGTTGAAATTAAACTTTGCTCGGCTTTTGTGGTTAGTGCTTACAGATGGATGTTTGTGTTTGACTTTTTGTTTTTCTTTATTGTTTCCTTTTTAACAAAAATGCAAGAGAACGACAAACTTTGCTTACCAAGCTAGGGTGAGTGAAACCAAAAGGTGTTGATGTTTTTTTTCTGTGATTGATGATGCTTCCCTGCTCAACATTTGAAAGTTTATATAGTTACCTGCATATTTGTTATACTATGACTTTTTATCCTCTGAGTTTGTGCTATATAATGGAAGCTAGTTTGT